AGCATCCTGCTTATGGGTCGCCATGACTCCTCTCTCCCACAAGTAATCTATGACTCCAGCAATCTTTTGGGAACCAGGAGATGGAGGCATAGCCAAATACTTGCGGACCATTTCTGGGCAAGATTTATTAATCACTATCTGCCAAGTCTCCAGGAAAGACAAAAATGGCAAAAGGATACTGACCAGCTCAGGATTGACCAGGTAGTACTCATAATTGACCCACAACTTCCACGAGCCCTCTGGCCAGTGGGCAAAGTGACCCGTACCTTCCCTGGACCTGATGGACGTATAAGGACAGTTGCCGTTCAGGTTCAAGATCGGACTTATGTTAGACCCGTGGCTCGGTTAATTCCACTTCCCAAACTCATAGATGATGACAACATCGATCCTGACATTTAAAAGGGGCTTTCTACCAGGTTCAAATGTCGCGAGCAACATTTTGGGGCGGCTATGTAAGAAAGCCCAACAATGCCCCCTGGAGGTATCTTTATGTATATGACTTTGTTGGTGCTTGCACGGGCATAGACAAGTCGGGACATGTCTGAACTAGTGTCAGAGAGCAGTTCAGATACATAGGAGACTGATTTTGCTTCTCACAGAAAGCGGACTGCTGCATGTTTATTACTTCCGTGAGTGATTGATCAAAAAACCACACGTATACCTATGAGAAAATCCTGTAATATTTCATACATGCAGAAATAATCAGAATAAAACCCTTCTGCTGGGACACACACTCTCTTGCTCCAGTTTCTCTAACCGGAAACTCCCACCACCATTTCTACTAGTGCTTAACCGAACCCCCCTGAGCGTCCCATACGCTCGTACACATGGACCTGCATTAGATAGCACTGAGACACAACGTAAAAGCCGGCGCATCGTGACTGAAAGTGAGTCTCCTGAGTGTAAATTGAATATTGACCAGTTCAGATTGCCACCCCCATTAGTCCTGTCTGGAAATACAGGCGAAAATTGGAGGAGATGGATACAGCGGTTCAACATTTACATGACAGCTTCAGGATCAGATTCAAAGGTTGAGAAGGTAAAAATTGCCATTCTACTGCATGCATTAGGAGAGGAGGCCTTAGAAGTGTACAATGAGTGTACAAGTCTGTTGAGGCTGCAACAATGCAAGATATTGTAACTGCACTTGAGAAGTATTGCCTGCCGAGAAAGAATGTTGTATTTGAGAGGCACCATTGCTGATGCGTTGTCACGTGCCGTTGCTGAAGGTCAACTCACAAGTACAGACGACCTCATTGATGAAAGAGTTGTATATGCACTTGAAGCAACACAAGCTCTCAGTGACGACACGTTAAAGGGTTAGTTCACCCAAAAATGAAAATTAAGTCATTAATTACTCACCCCCATGCTGTACCAACCCCGTAAGACCTTCGTTCATCTTCGGAACACAAATAAAGATATTTTTGATTGAATCTGAGAGCTGGATCAGTCCTCCATAGACAGCCTGAGGGACTGCCTCTTGACGGCCCAGAAAGTCATTAAAAGAAAAGGTTTAAATATTCCATGTGCCTACAGCGGCTCAACTATAACTTTATCAAGCGACGAGACTACTTTTTGTGCGGAAAAAAAAACGTAAATAACGACTTTATTCGACTTTCCATTACTTCCTTATGGGCGCATGCGCGAGAACTGAGACGAGACCGTTCTTCTTCGACTACTTTTTGTTACCGGCTGCTCACCGCTTAGGAGTTTTACCGCCCCCTACCGTATAAGATGACGTACTGCTTGTAAACAGAACGTTTTGCGCCTCCGGCTATATCAGTACGTCATCTTATACGGTAGGGGGCGGTAAAACTCCTAAGCGGTGAGCAGCCGGTAACAAAAAGTAGTCGAAGAAGAACGGTCTCGTCTCAGTTCTTGCGCATGCGCCCATAAGGAAGTAATGGAAAGTCGAATAAAGTCGTTATTTACGTTTTTTTTTTCGCACAAAAAGTAGTCTCGTCGCTTGATAAAGTTATAGTTGAGCCACTGTAGGCACATGGAATATTTAAACCTTTTCTTTTAATGACTTTCTGGGCCGTCAAGAGGCAGTCCCTCAGGCTGTCTATGGAAGAGTGATACAGCTCTCAGATTCAATCAAAAATATCTTTATTTGTGTTCCGAAGATGAACGAAGGTCTTACGGGGTTGGTACAGCATGGGGGTGAGTAATTAATGACTTAATTTTCATTTTTGGGTGAACTAACCCTTTAAAGCGGCTCACTGACGCTACTGCAAGAGACAGTACTCTCCAGCTTCTGATGAAGATGCAAAAGACAGGATGGGCAAAGCATAGAAAACAACTTGATCTTAAAATTCAACAGTACTGGCCGGTTAGACACACTGTGGCTGTGCAGGATGGTATATTGATGGTATCTGACAGGATTCTGATTCCTGAGACAATGAGATCAGAGATGCTCAAGAAACTCCATATCGCACATCAAGGTATGCAACACACAAAAGCTCATGCCAGAAAGTTCATGTATTGGCCTGGTATGACCAGACATATTGAACAGATGGTCGAAACATGTACAACCTGTCAACAGTTTCAGCCTAGGAACCAGAAAGAGCCACTCATCTCTCATGAAGTATCAGAGCTCCCCTGGATAAAAGTTGCTGCTGACATCTTCGAAATCAGAGGTCAATCGTTCCTTCTGATTGTTGATTATGTGTCAAAGTTTCCTGAGGTGTTGAATATTAAAGACAAGACCGCATCCACAGTCATTGCAAAGATGAAAGCAGTGTATGCCAGGCACGGCATGCCTAAAGAGCAAGTGTGTGACCATGTACCATTTGCAAGCTATGAAATGAGGAAATTCGCAGCTGAGTGGGGCATCAAACTGACACACTCAAGTCCAGCATACCCTCAGTCAAATGGGTTGGCAGAGAGAACTATTAAAACTGTCCTGAGAAAAGCAGAACAATCAGGGACGGATCATCACTTTGCTTTGCTGTTGATAAGGAATACTCCGGTCACTGGCATGCCTTATTCACCAGCGCAAGTTTTGATGGGAAGAGTAGTGAGGAGCACCTTACCAGCATCCAGTGAAGTCCTGTGACCAACCACTCCCAAAGGTGTTCATCAGGCACTCCAAACCCAGCAAAAGAAGCAAGCGTGTTACTACAATGTGGGGGCAAAAACCCTGCCAGAACTGCATGCAGGTAATACTGTACACATTGAAACTGACAAAGGGTGGCAGCCGGGTCTCATTGTTTCCAAACGAGATGAGCCGAGGTCGTACAACGTTGTTAACGCAGCAGGACGACAGTTTCGTCGCATCAGGCGCCACCTAAGGAAAACAATTCACAAGCACACAGAAATATTGGAACCTGCAGATGAGCCTACTGACGGTGCACATTATGAGCCTAACGACAGTGCACACGCTACCATTTCAGTGGAACATGAAGTGGGAGATAGGTCTGCACAGGGCGTACTGGTTCATTCCTTACGTAATACCAGTACTACAATTACCAGGAGTGTGGTCGGATTGTGAAAGTTCCTGTAAGGTTTCAGGACTACTGTATGAACTGACTATAAGTTTGCCTTGTGCTTATTCAACTTTAAGAACTATATTTAGTGTTTTGTGTCTTATGTGTTGCTAGTATTGTTTTCCTATAAGAAAAAAGGGAATGTAGTGCAGTGTTAAATACATCTATGGTGTAATTCCATATTTACTCAACTGGAGGGCAACCTTGTGTTATATATTTGGGTTACCGTGAAGCAGTGAGTGAGTGTTACTTCCACATGCTAATGGGCAGCACACACTGCTAGTGTTTGTAATAATGGCAAGGTTCTCTGTGATCCTGGAGCGGGAGAGGCAGTGCAAGGCCAGTATCAGCCATTCAGTTCATCAGAGAAGGGGAGAAACCACCAGCCCCCAAGAGGAGGGAAAAGAGCCTCTTGCAAGTAGCACAGTCCTGGGAGATGAGGGTGGACCTGGGAAGGAAACTAGTCTTCCCCCAGGTTGTGCAGACATCACTGAGGCCGGACATGGTCTTATGGTCCGAGGAGGGTAGGAAGATAATCTTGATCGAACTGACGGTCCCTTGGGAAGACGGGTGCGAGGAGGCTTATAAGCGGAAAGCCACTAAGTATCAGGACCTCGTTGAGCAGTGCAGGGCCAAAGGGTGGCAGACCTGGCTATTCCCGGTGGAGGTCGGGTGTAGGGGCTTCCCTGCGCAGTCTGTGTGGAAGACACTCACAGCTCTGGGTATAGCAGGAAGGGAGAGAAAGAGCAGCAGAAAGAGCGTCTTGCTGGCTCTGGAATAGAAGGGAGGAGTTGAGCTGGGGGCCAGGAGGAGGTGGGCAGTGACTGGCCACCACTGTCGACCCGCCAACTGGAGGGTGTTGTGGTTCAGGGTCGAAACACCTGGTGAAGGTTGGATGCAACCTTCACCGGGTGGCCGTGCAACCTGGCCGAAAGCTACAGTCATGCACTACAGTCAGTGACTGAGTATATAGCATCTGTAAAGATGTATCCAATAATAATAAACAAACAGTTTGGAAATATATCCTTATGTGTCGGTAGCTCATTAAATGCACTGCACGACGAAGACAAAGGAACACTACACTTAGCAACAATTGCATTTAATTGTACCCATCTCCGTGACCATCATCCTGCGGATTCCATCCCACCAGCTTCCATCTCTAAACCAGCTGTATCTCCACTGAATGTTTCACAGTCAGATCTGGTGTCAGTTTTAATTCAGTATTTTAGTCTGAAAATCTGCTGACACACTTGGGCTATGAGAACAGATACTGTAAGTTACTGTAACACCATTTCTATCCTGATCTCGGTCTGACTGAGGACAGATGATCAAGTCTCAAGGCTTGTTTGCTACACTGACGGTTTCATTCATCTCAGATAATCTGAAGAGCAGAAGCTCATGGATGAACTGAACATGTCTGGAGGATAAAGATCATGAAGAAAAATAAACCTGAGCTAACTTTCTATATACAATGTCTTCAGGTTAAAGTGATGAAATGATGAACACACTCACCTGATACTGTCAGTGTAACTCCATCACTGATCTCTGAGTGCTGTGGGGTTTCAGTCTGAGTTCCTCTACAACTGTACAGACCAGCATGAGACGAATCCACAGATGTGATTATATAGATCTGGTCTGTTCTTCTGCTGTTATCTTGATCTTTATACCAGCTGTACCTCCAGACTCCTGTCTCCTGTATGTCACATGTGAGAGTGACTCTCTCTCCTCTGAACACACGGACATCAGGCTTCACCTTCACTACAGGTTTGGGTCTCTCTGTGAAATGAGCAAACACACACTTCATGTTTCTTTCACTGAAAAATAAAAATAAAAAATAAATCTACAAAGTAAAAGAGCTCTTACCTCTCACTGTTATCTGTATTGCATTACTGAAGTCTGTATAGGAGTTTCCTCGCTCTGCTATACACCCGTATGTTCCTCCATCAGAGACTCTCACAGAACTGATAGTTTTAGTTGCTGTATAATCACCGGATTCCCAGTGTGAGTCTTTCCTCCAGTGAAACGTCCATCCAGTTGATCTTCCCACGTCACAGCTGAGAGTAACCGTGTCTCCAGTGAACACTGAACTCTGGGGCTTTACAGTCAGAGTCGGTTTATCTGGAAGTGAACAGTGATGCAGTGTTGAGCTCATTTATACAGTTATTGCTCATATTTCACTAGTCTTCTGTTTTTATCATTATTTTTTAAACAGTAAACTATATCATTTATATTGATTTAAAGGGGCTTTTGTCATTTTTGCTTCCAGTGACACCAAACTGAAAATTCCAGCACTTACAAAGAATGTTAAATACAATCGCAGGTAAGTTCAGGGAATATTAAACTACTTTTATTTTTATTATTATTTATTTTAAATATTTTTTATTTTTAGAATGAGGAGTTGACGTCATTTTACAGAGCCCCTCCCCTTTCCGCCATGTTGGTAGGATTCCCACGGCAAAAGAGTATTGATTACGTGTGTTTTTAGCTCGGTAGTAGAGGAGTTTCTCACAATACCGCACTGTTTTACCATGCCTGGAAGTAACTGCTGCGTTAAAAACTCCTCCAGTAACTCACACGATACATATGGAAAACATAGGAACAATGGAATACAGTTTTTGGGGTTACCGAAATTGACACAGCAGGGAGAGTCTGATCTGACAAGAAGACGCCGGATTGCTGGGTTTGCTGATGCCTTTAGTATACGATTTTCACTGTTTGCTGTGTCTTAACGAACATATACAAAAGTGAACATATGCTTTTTTATTTCATTGAAATAAATGTTTGAAACAACTTGATATGGCTTAACAATATTTATTGAGAACTGAAATATATAGGCTATTTGGACAACATAAGTTTCATGGACAACATAAGTAATGATAATAAAATAATAATACTGTTATTAGTGCAAAAGAACAAATATATTGATGCTGCTTCTCCAAATACAGCTGTTTTGCACTTTGTGTGAGTTTGTTCGTGTAAGGTCCCTTTTCTTTCGCCTTATCTTTTAGCATTGCTTTACTTTCTTACTTTTTTTCTCGTATTCTTAGATCCGTCTCTGTCCTGCCAAAATAATAAATGCGCGGAAATGAAAGAGCTCTGGAATGTTTAGTCGCGTCTATGGGTTCTAAAGGCGTTGCCCCTGGTAACCGATAGCGTCTCCTACCATCATGGCCGACCGGCTCAGACCCCGCCCAAATCGGCACGTGACTCCTCATTCTCAATAGCTACCCTGCAGTACACCACTGGTTGCAATAATAACAAATCATTTGTATTACATAAAAATAGCTAAATGAGTGTATAGCCTACATCTTTTTAAAAAACTGTTCCTGGTAAGTGTTCGCATTTATGAGGAAAAAACAAAGTGACAGACGTGACAGTTCTCCGTTACAGATGCGAGGGCTCTGAAGCTCACTTTAAGACTGCTTTAAAATTTTCACAGACCTCAAAGAGAAAAGCGCAACGCCTTCTTTAAAGTGAATTTCGTATTGTATTAATTTATATAACAGGAAGTAAAAGCAGACAATTATAGATAATCAGCGTGAACTGGAGCGCGTCTCATACTGTATAGAGCGCGTCTTCATATGAAACTTAGCGTATAAGTAGCCTAGGCTATAGCCTACTCCACAGGCCTGAAACATAAGCGACTTAAAATTGCATTTTTCATTGCAGGGCAGGGCCAAGTAACAATGCGAGACAAATCAACAAACTTTAAATGAAAAATTAAATGACTGATACATTTTTTAAAAAAAAAAATCAAACGTAAACGGGCGGGGCCCCCTATTGGACGGGGCCCATGGGCTTGAGCCCAGTCAAACCCAATGGTAAGTCCGGCCTTGGGGCTAATGCAGGAGAAAGATTTCAAAAGAGACGCTGAAGTCCTGCTTCCTCCTCGACAGGTAAGGCAATGTTACAGTCTGGATTACAAGCTTTTTTCATTGTTTGGTTGTGTACTTTTTTATATAGACAGATGAACATTTATAGTTAAAAGTTGATGATGATATCTAATTCACGTTGCTACTTAAGAAAATATAACGAATAAAGAAGGCTTAACTACTTATAAGAATAGTTCGTGTTTTTCACAGTCAGTAATTCATACTGTAACATTCGTTTATTCGTTGTGTTGAGTTACTGTTTGTTTGAAATAACAAACCTGTTCACCCGAAGGAACACTCGACAAAGTGCTAATTCAGTCATTTACATAATGGCTACCGTAGATGCCTACACAATGTCCCTTTAATGTAAAGTTGCTAACTATGGCTGCATTCACACTGTCAGTCCAAATCCGATTATCTTTGAAACTGATTGGAATCTGATCTAAAATAATGTCCACACTGTGTATCACAAGTTTTCCAAAACGATTTGTGAGTTCCTGCAGCTCTTTGGCAATATGAACGTTGCGTTGATGGAGGGGTTTGCATTTGCAATAGATATGTTGTCTTATTTAAATTTGAAAATGTGTAGTCGGCGGGCTGGACTCCTGCATCTCAAGCTGCAGAACTGTAGGAGGCTGGTGTGCACAGCTTTATTCCGTGCTCACATTTTGCGCCTGTTTCAAAAATAATACTTTTCTGCTTGTCTGGCACTTTGCAACAACACAGCCTCGACTTTCAGCGTGTTCCCTATAACAACGTCTGACAGTTACATTTTACGTGGCGTGAGAAAGTCACATACCATGCGAAATCCGAATCCGGGGGGCTAGGTCCCCTGCAGATCCTGCTCTTCCCTAGTCGCCCACGCTTCACCCAAAAGTTTAGGAGGGTGGTGAAGCGGAGGCAGTTTTGGGGGAGGGCCAGGCCCGCACTGGGAACCAGGACCAGGATATAGGCAAGACTCTCCATCCCTCCCCCAAGACCGCCTCCGCTTCACCACCCTCCTAAACGTTTGTGGTTTTGTTTTGATGGGCATCGGGAGCCGCCCATAGGGGAAGGGCTATATCACGGTGTGGGTTTTTGTGTCTTGTCCTTGTTCTTGTCTGTCATGTGATTCCTTGTTTGCCATTGTCTGATCATTGTTCCCATGTGTTTCTGATTAGCCACGCCCCCTTGTTATCTTGTTTAGCTTGTTTGCCTGTGTATTTATACTTCTGTTCATCAGTTCTTGTTTGTCAGTAGTTGTTGTAACCAAGTTATTTTTTATTTTTTTCAAAAAGAGATTTATGTTCATAGATAATATCTGGTTATTATATTTATTGATTCCTCCTCAAAATAGCTAGAAGAAATCTAAACTACAAGCCAAACCAAAGCTCGGGTCTTAGGATTTGCAGACCTCTGCATTCAGTTTTATTGTTTTTTTTTTTTTTTTTTTTTTACTTCAAATAGTTTGTACCACAAGAAAAGAGATAATTAAATAAAGAGGAGTGACAACTGTATTTATCAGCAGTGTGAATGAGAGTAAAATTCCCTTGATTATATGTGTGATCATGATCGTAGAGAGTTTATTAGGACAATGATGTTGAACTCACCCTTCACAGAGAGAGAAACAGCAGAGCTTGATGTTGATGAGTTTGGTCTTCCATCTCTCTGTCCTTTACACCAGTACTGACCCTGATCAGACTCAGTAGCTCTTCTGATAGTGACAGTGTCTCTGTTTACAGTGTAACGATAATCTGACGTCTGTAACTTTACACTGTCTTTATACCACTCATATCTCCAGTTACTGTGATCAGAGTTTATCACACACTTCAGATTGACTGATTCTCCAGTGAAGACAGGACCGGCTGGTGTCACAGTCACTGTAGATGTGGGTAAATCTGAGAAGAGAGAAAAAACAAAGAACAAACTGACTTAAGAACAAATTATTACTGCGTTCCCCAATCGCGTCAATCGATGCAGTGTCCCGTTCCCTGTTCTCAGGGAACATAGGTTACAGTCGTAAACCTGAGATGTTTTCTAATGTGTTTTGAGGCTTCAGCTCCGGCATGTAAGCTCGTCTTGATCGGCCCAAAGGCGGTTTCCGTTAACGGGTGAAGGTCTCTGCGCGCTATTGTCTTTCCGCGTGGCAAAGTAATTTAATTCCATTTAAGATTTTATATGACTCCATTTTATTATCATGACCTCAAATTAAAGTTAGATTGCCAATTGGTTATTGGTCATCTTATAATAGTTTAACGACACATTTGATTGTTATATTTAACTCTTTACTTTTTTTCCATTCATAAGGGTCCGCTTCACCACCCTCCTAAACGTTAGTGGTTTTGTTTTGATGGGCATCGGGAGCCGCCCATAGAGGAAGGGCTATATCACGGTGTGGGTTTTGTGTCTTGTTCCTTGTTCTTGTCTGTCATGTGATTCCTTGTTTGCCATGTGTCTTGTTAATGGACTTTATACACAGCTGCACTACTTCCTGAACTTAAGCCAGCTCCCTTGTTTCCTGTCTGCCATTATTAGCCAAATTGATTAGTTCAGGTGTGCCTGACTTCAGTAGTCACGGCAACAATAATCAGACACACCTGAATTAATCAAGCTTGGCCAAAGGCAAAAAGGAAACAAGGGAGCTGGCTTAAATTCAGGAAGTAGTGCAGCTGTGCATAAAGTCAATTGTCTGATCATTGTTCCCATGTGTTTCTGATTAGCCACGCCCCTTTGTTATCTTGTTTAGCTTGTTTTTAGCCTGTGTATTTATACTTCTGATCATCAGTTGTTGTTTGTCAGTAGTTGTTGTAACCAAGTCCCTTCTTGCCCTTGTTGTGAGGATAGGACCATAGATCCCAGGTTGAGTTTTAAACATTATTTGTTACCTATAACAAATAATTGTGTCCGATTTGTCTCAGTCATTACACTACAGACCGAGTGTCTACATATGTGGACATCATTTTATTATTATTTATTTATTTTTATTATTATTTTATTTTTTATTTTTTTCAAAAAGAGATTTATGTTCAAAGATAATATCTGGTTACTATATTTATTGATTCCTCCAAACCCCAAAAATAGCGAGAAGAAATCTAAAATACAAGCCAAACCAAAGCTTGGGTCTTAGATTTTCAGACCTCTGCATTCAGTTTTATTGTTTTTTTTTTGTGTGTGTGTGTTTTTTTAACTTCAAATAGTTTGTACCACAAGAACAGAGATAATTAAATAAAAAGAGGAGTGACAACTGTATTTATCAGCAGTGTGAATGAGAGTAAAATTCTCTTGATTATATGTGTGATCATGATCGTAGAGAGTTTATGAGGACAATGATGTTGAACTCACCCTTCACAGAGAGAGAAACAGCAGAGCTTGATGTTGATGAGTTTGGTCTTCCATCTCTCTGTCCTTTACACCAGTACTGACCCTGATCAGACTCAGTAGCTCTTCTGATAGTGACAGTGTCTCTGTTTACAGTGTAACGATAATCTGACGTCTGTAACTTTACACTGCCTTTATACCACTCATATCTCCAGTCACTGTGATCAGAGTTTATCACACACTTCAGATTGACTGTTTCTCCAGTGAAGACAGGACTGTCTGGTGTCACAGTCACTGTAGATGTGGGTAAATCTGAGAAGAGAGAAAAAACAAAGAACAAACTGACTTAAGAACAAATTATTACTGCGTTCCCCAATCGCGTCAATCGATGCAGTGTCCCGTTCCCTGTTCTCAGGGAACATAGGTTACAGTCGTAAACCTGAGATGTTTTCTAATGTGTTTTGAGGCTTCAGCTCCGTCATGTAAGCTCGTCTTGATCGGCCCAAAGGCGGTTTCCGTTAACGGTGAAGTCTCTGCACGCTATTGTCTTTCTGTTTGGCAAAGTAATTTAATTCCATTTAAGCTTTTATGACTCCATTTTATTATCATGACCTCAAATTTAAGTTAAATTGCCAATGGGCTCTATGCACGGAGGTATTTCCGGTGAAGGATTAAGGATGCTCGATAACTTCCGCCGATCGTTGAGTCCAATGCAAGACCGAGAATTTATATTGGATTTTATACTCCATGGTTAAGAAGCGTTAGTCACAAAAACAGACAAAACAGACACCCCTCGTTGTGTTTCTGCTTCTTTTTTTAAATTATATTAAATATACATAACTATTAGGGCTGGGCATTGACACACATTTCACAATTGATTAGATTTCGATTCACAAGCTTGCAATTCGATTCGATTCAATATTGATTATTTTGGATATCAGTTTACAATACATGGCAAATTTTCTCAAGGAAATCAAATCTCTTAACTAATGCTGTAAACTATGGGAGTTTAGTTGTAGCCTACTAGGCTTCATTAGCCTAATATGAAGGTAATAATTAACTGTTTTGTAGCTATACAAACACTTAAATTTGATTATATGAAATATAAACATTTAAATGGTGGCTGTCATAAAAAACTTGCCAAATTTATTCAAATATGCATTAAATATTGAAGAACATTAAGATTATAATGCATATGTAATATGGTGTATATATTTAGCAAAATGCTCCTCTCTAGAGTTATTTTTTCTAGCTGACTAACGAGTTTATGTGGGTTTTCTGAGGTAAATATGACGATACATGACATTGATTACAAGCTGTTTAACTGACGTCTTTCCTCGGTTGAAACGCTGATTGAGCGAATCAATGTGACATGATACGGATTTCGAAAAGCTGTACTCTATCTTTTAACACACTTTCAGATGCTCATTCATGTTTATTTCGCACTGTGACTGGTATTATTAACCCGGAAGAGAGATCAGCGCTGCTGTTTCTCTTGAACTGCGCCAGAGCGATCTCATGCCACAGCACCAAAACTCTATTCATGTTTTTGAATTTCTAAAGAAAAATGGACGTAATTTGAAAATTTGAGACTTTGTTTCATATCAATAGTAATAAAGGACAAAGATTATTGCGATTTTTTTTTTTTGGATACGCGCAGCCGCGATACAATGTCCCATTCATTCAAATGAAACAGGATGGATGACTAATCGATTCTTGAGATTCAAGAATCGATATTGGTTCGTAAAAATGAGAATCGATTAACATCAAGAAATCAAAATTTATTACCCAGCCCTAATAACTATATATAAAATTACATCTAAACGAATGAAAGTTTCGTTTCAAAGACGGGAGGACAGTAAATTTTGAAGACTGCCATAATCCCGTTTTCCTCTGCTTTAATCTCCCCAACCGGAAACTGACGAGCATCCTTGCGTCAAATGTGGAACTTATGCGTGCATATAGCCTATTGGTTATTGGTCATCTTATAATAGTTTAACAACACATTTCATTGTTATATTTAACTCTTTACTTTTTTTCATTCATAAGGGTCCGCTTCACCACCCTCCTAAACGTTTGTGGTTTTGTTTTGATGGGCATCGGGAACCGCCCATAGGGGAAGGGCTATATCACGGTGTGGGTTTTGTGTCTTGTTCCTTGTTCTTGTCTGTCATGTGATTCCTTGTTTGCCATGTTTCTTGTTAATTGTCTGATCATTGTTTCCATGTGTTTCTGATTAGCCACGCCCCCTTGTTATCTTGTTTAGCTTGTTTGCCTGTGTATTTATACTTCTGATCATCAGTTGTTGTTTGTCGGTAGTTGTTGCAGTGTTGTAGTACTCGAGACTCGGACTCGGTCTCGAGACCATAATGGTCTTGGTCTTGTCATGGACTCGTGTGCATTTGGACTCGGAATTGACTCGTACCTGAAGGTTTTTTTTTTAGGACTTAGACTTTTTCCCGAGTCCACTCGAAAAAATTCAAAATATTTTTCATGATTATTAATGTATGTTAATAAAATATTTCTTTAAATTGATTGACAGGCCCAGTGATTGGTGATTTTCTAGTGCGCAACTGTGCATGACAAATTGCAATAAAATTACTTTTAACACCACCTACTATGTGGCCTTTTTACCCTAAACTGATCATATTTTTTAAACTCTAAGTAAATTCAGTAAAAAATAAAAAAAAGGATTTCTCCAAGTAAATAAAAGTAAATTAGGTAATCAACCCTCACTGGTCTCGGTCTCGACTCGGACTCGACCGTCTCTGGTCTCGACTCGGACTCGACCGTCTCTGGTCTCGGACTCGACTCGGACTCAACTCTCTATGGTCTCGGTCTCGACTCGGACTCGAGTGAGGTGGTCTCGACTACAACACTGAGTTGTTGTAACCAATTTATTATTTTTTTTTTTCAAAAAGAGATTTATGTTCAAAGATAATATCTGGTTACTATATTTATCTATTCCTCCTAACCCCAAGTAGCTAGAAGAAATCTAAAATACAAGCCAAACCAAAGCTTGGGTCTTAGATTTTCAGACCTCTGCATTTGTAACGGAGGCCAGCAAGTAGTTGCTGTGCAAGTAAACCTTACTCCTCAGATCTCAATATGCGCTCTGGCGACAGACGCTAGAGGCTGCATTCTTTAGCCTCCTTGTTAGAGCGTCTGACTCTCCTGCCAGAGATCCGGGTTCAAGTCGAGTAGTACAAATAAAGTCATTTGCGCTGGGTGCAAGATAGAGCCTAGAGAGTTTTTGAGGACAATGATGTTGAACTCACCCTTCACAGAGAGAGAAACAACAGAGCTTGATGTTGATGAGTTTGGTCTTCCATCTCTCTGTCCTTTACACCAGTACTGACCCTGATCAGACTCAGTAGCTCCTCTGATAGTGACAGTGTCTCTGTCTACAGTGTAACGATCATACGTGTGTAACTTTACACTGTCTTTATACCACTCATATCTCCAGTCACTGTGATCAGAGTTTATCACACACTTCAGATTGACTGTTTCTCCAGTGAATACAGGACCGGCTGGTGTCACAGTCACTGTAGATGTGGGTAAATCTGAGAAGAGAGAAAAAACATGTACTGCCTTGAGAACAAATTATTACTGCGTTCCCCAATCGCGTCAATCGATGCAGTGTCCCGTTCCCTGTTCTCAGGGAACATAGGTTACAGTCGTAAACCTTAGATGTTTTCTAATGTGTTTTGAGGCTTCAGCTCCGTCATGTAAGCTCGTCTTGATCGGCCCAAAGGCGGTTTCCGTTAACGATGAAGTCTCTGCGCGCTATTGTCTTTCTGCGTGGCAAAGTAATTTAATTCCATTTAAGATTTTATGACTCCATTTTATTATCATGACCTCAAATTTAAATTAGATTGCCAATTGGTTATTGGTCATCTTATAATAGTTTAACAACACATTTGAGTGTTATATTTAACTCTTTACTTATATTTTTTCATTCATATTAGGAAGCTATGTCACTTAGGGGTCCTCATGTCTTGTTTAATGCGGGTCTCACATTCACAAGCTCGCCAGCTTCGGTCACCAAACAGAGGTAAATGCTATACAATGCCTAGCATAAGTGAACACACCCATGCTAATGTTGACTGAAAAGGGGAAATAAAAAATCATTCATCATTAATGCCTTTATTTTTAAAAAATGAGGAGAAATCCAACCTTTAAGGACACCAATTATCATTGTAAATGAATATCATCACATTCCCTTCACCATACGTAGAGATAGGCATGGGGTACTTTCCATAAGATCATCTCTCCATGCAAATCATACCAGCTATTAGGCTAATAACAACATGCCAATCTCTGAGTATAGTGAATGATTTGGGGCTTTTTTAATTCCAAAGGCCAAGGGAACTTTATCGGGATGCATATTATCCTCGGATCCATGACACAACTGGCCTTTAAAAATAAAAATCTGCCTGCCTCTATGGGAATTTAACATAGGGGCGTCCTGACTTACGCAAACTGTATTTTAAGGATGAACATTTATTTAATTATTTATGATACATTATTCATTACCAAAGAAAAAATGCTGTCCTTAAAGGTTGGATTTTTCCTCATTTTTTTAAATTAAGGCATTAAGATCAATTTCCAAAAGTATTTTTAGTCAACTTTAGCATTGGTTTGTTCACTAAATGTCTCCATGCCACTGCCCCCAAGTACTACTGGAGCTTCTCCACCCTTACATCCCGCACACAATCTCCGGTCTATTGACAAGGACCTGCTCTCTGGCCCGCGTGCTAGATTGCGGACTTTTGGGGACAGAGCCTTCAGCATCGCAGCCCCCAACCTCTGGATCTCCATTCCCAAAGACATTCAATATTCAAAAAACCTCCTAAAAATTACATCTTTACAAAGGCATTTAACCTGTAATGACTTCTGTCTCTTCTGTCTCTGCAGTTATGTGTAAAGCATCATTGGGTCTTGTGAAAGGTGCCATTTAAATACAAGATATTATTATTATTATAATTCATTACATTTATATAGCGCTTTATTAAAAATACTATCCACTGTATACCTAAGATTGGTCTTATTCCCGCTTACACAATCAAATATACTTTGGTAGGCCCTGTGATTGCATATAATTGAAATTAAATTAACGTTTACTTGAGTCAAGGTATGGCCACTACTACAGATATAAGTCAACCAACTCTACTTGTCATATAATGGCTTTGGATCGGTCATGCCATGATTTCCCATGTACACTTATCTAAAGTAACATTACATTAAAACAGAAGACACCAGATTTAGGTTGGTCAAGCAGCACTTTGAATTGCCCTTAACCGAAATTCACTTCTTGTCTTTGCAAAACACAGACACTTGAATTAGTGCCAAATATTATTTGTCACTAATCTGATGCAAAACTTGTGGTGACATACGAATTAATCTAATTAGGAAATAATAAAATCAAATGTAACAATTTATTATCTCAAGTAAATGTATCAGCTAATTTCATAATCAGTTCAAAGATAATAAATACAAAACATCAAACGCTCTGGAATAAAGAGAGAAGATGTGAACCTGACATTATAAAATACATGATGCGGACTCTATTGTTGCAATTCATTATATACCCAGACCAAGACACAAACTTCTTTCAGGAAACATTTGCTAACAATGATTTTGCATTCTGAGTTTACACCTTTGGAAGGAAGCCCAGAAGCCCAGTTTCCTGGAAGACGCACCTGTGTGCAAGTTATCTAAACTCTTAAAAGCTTTATTATCTTTTGTTTTACTTCTTTGGTAATGAGACCTTTGTACAGTCACACTGTGACATTTCAAATGATACCAAACAATCACTTATTTCACATTTAACATTGCATATAGGTTTTAAGTGAGTTTGAGGTGAGGAGAAGAGAGACTGTAAGAGAGAGGTGTGAGCTGCATCTCCGATGTTACTGTTACAAATGCAAGAGTACAAATGTTAATTCTCAGGAGAGCCTTTTGCTTTCTCACGCCCAGAATTACAGTCACAAACTCAGACAAACACTGATCAGAAACACAAAGCTGTTCATGTTATTGTTCAGTATTTTAGACTGAAAATCTGCTGACACACTTGGGCTATGAGAACAGATACACTGAGGCTCTGTAAGTTACTGTAACACCATTTCTATCCTGATCTCGGTCTGACTGAGGACAGATGATCAAGTCTCAAGGCTTGTTTGCTACACTGATGGTTTCATTCATCTCAGATAATCTGAAGAGCAGAAGCTCATGGATGAACTGAACATGTCTGGAGGATAAAGATCATGAAGAAAAATAAACCTGAGCTAACTTTCTATATACAATGTCTTCAGGTTAAAGTGATGAACTGATGAACACACTCACCTGATACTGTCAGTGTAACTCCATCACTGATCTCTGAGTGCTGTTGGGTTTCAGTCTGAGTTCCTCTACATCTGTACAGACCAGCATCAGACGAATCCACAGATGTGATTATATAGATCTGGTGTTGTCCTGCGCTGTGATAGATCTGGTCTGTTCTTCTGCTGTTATCTTGATCTTTATACCAGCTGTACGTCCAGACTCCTGTCTCCTGTAGGTCACATGTGAGAGTGACTCTCTCTCCTCTGAACACACGGACATCAGGCTTCACCTTTACTACAGGTTTGGGTCTCTCTGTGAAATGAGCAAACACACACTTCATGTTTCTTTCACTAAAAAAAAAAAAATAAATAAATTTACAAAGTAAAAGAGCTCTTACCTCTCACTGTTATCTGTATTCCATTACTGTACCCTGTATTGTAGTTTCTTCGCTGTGCTCTACACCAGTATGTTCCTCCATCAGAGACTCTCACAGAACTGATAGTTTTAGTTCTTGTATAATCACTGGATTCACAGTTTGAGTCTTTCGTCCAGAGAAACGTCCATCCAGTTGATCTTCCCACGTCACAGCTGAGAGTAACTGTGTCTCCAGTGAACACTGAACTCTGGGGCTTTACAGTCAGAGTCGGCTTATCTGGAAGTGAACAGTGATGCAGTGTTGAGCTCATTTATACAGTTATTGCTCATATTTCACTAGTTTTCTTTTTTTATCATTATTTTTTAAACAGTAAACTATATAATTTATATTGATTTAAAGGGGCTTTTGTCTTTTTTGCTTCCAGTGACACCAAACTGAAAATTCCAGCACTTACAAAGAATGTTAAATACAATCACAGGTAAGTTCAGGGAATATTAAACTACTTTTATTTATTTTTATATATTTTTTTATTTATTTGATTATTTACTGTATGAATGAAACGTAAACTCTACTGATTCTTATATTAGGCTGCTTTCACTTTAAGAAGTACAGTGAAGGACAGATCTAATATACTTTACACAAAAATAAATATACCAAAATGAATTTGAAATTCATTTTTTTTTTGTGTGTAAAGTATACTAATAAAACATTAACATATGCATGTACTTAATTATAAATACCTTACAATTCTACCAATTGGTAGTGATGTCCAGGGGCGGTGATTGTCCGTTAAATTAACCAATCAGTTTATAGAATCTACTGAAGTTCGTGATTCAAAGAAGTGCAGCGCCAAAGAAACAACGGTCATCGCAGACTTGGACTTTTACTTTATCAAATGTGGGAAGTCAAGACACCAAACAAAAATTATGGTTTAATATGTTTGTATGGTTTTCTCAGATCAATGTTTTTACCTCATCAGGCTCTGCTCACGTTGGTCATGGTTGATTTCAATCCAATGTTCAGTCAAATTTGAATAAAACACAGTAAAATACGCTGGGTGCTATCAAACAATAAACACTGTCATGGTGATTTGCATATTTTTGTATCAGTTTATTTTGTGACCACATAGCAAGATTACACTAACTGACAATATGCCCATAATGTTCCAAAAAAAAAAAAAATCATAATAATAATTGTCTTGTGACACGTACGTTACTTGTTAATGCACAAGACAGTCACTCATTTCGGTCTTTTGTCAAGGACACTCCCGTCAGACATTGTATTTCTCATGATCTCCTGTTTTAATGTTACAACAAATTCAAAAACAAATATAGCTGCAAGCAGCGATGACGGGCCCAAGCCGGTGGCACCACAACCCCGGTTCCTTTAGTTACCTAAAGGCACCGGGGTAGTCACACACACAAGACACGTCACTTACATTTTAGATGCAATATTGATTTTTTTTTGTTTCAGCAGAGAAAATAGTTAGACAAAGATCACAGCGAACCATCCTGCATCTCAAAGCAATGTGTTTTCTCATTACTGAATGATTCAGCATTTTGAACGAATGAATCCATGACTAGTTCATTAAGACGGTCGCCTGGCGACACCTTATGGCGATTTAGGGTTATGTTTAAAAGTATCGTACTTTACAACGGCAGCATGAAAATAGAGACTAGTAGGTTAAAATGATTAAATGTTAATACGGCTTGCCATACTCTATCTGTCGTTTCGACTAGACACAATTACGTTACATATCTTAAATGATAACACAAACTATCCAAAATGTAATTACGACTAGTCGTTGTTGAGTTGTAAGTACGACTAAAACGTTGTTGATATCTACAATGTTAATTCCGTATAGTCAAACTTGGCTTTTAAATGTTAAAAGGGCTTGCCATACAGAGACGTAGGCTCAGAGAGAGGCTCACCATATTCAAACCAAAATATCTGACTTTCTGTTGGTCCGAGTTAATGAGTGTGAATTAGAAAGTTGTCCGGCTCGAGGAGTACAATGTACATACTGATTTTTGTAACTGCAGATAAAACTAACAACCTGACTTTTGTCAAAAGGTGGTGCTACTGAGCCCTCACCACACCCGTTCCTGAAACTTTGCACATGTCTACTGGCTAATAAATGTGATGTGCCTGACGAGTTTTATGCAATTTCAAGCATGCTAAGAGTCTCAAAAGCATCCTAAAAGAATGGTAAAGTTTGATGCGTTGCCACGGCAACAGTTTCAAAGATATCAAGAATCCATTGACAGGTCTTCATCTGCCGTGTATTTACTTTATACAGATGAAGTTTGAAGCAAATCGGGTTAAAATAAGAGGGTGATTTCAAAGCATTTGGAAAGTGACACACTTCCTGCTGCCAGTTGGTGGTAAAAATTAAAATACAGTTACTGTGACTGATAATGAATATGTAATGCAAATGTAAAAATATAATGGAACTGCAAATACATTTTTGGATGATTATAAACATGGTATTTTGCTTGTTTATACCTGCAGTGCAGTGCAGAAAATGATATGACATATGACAACAATAAGGTCTAAATGTAACTGGCCCCAGCAGAATTGTAGAATTAAAGTGAATTAAAACACTTTAAACCCAAATGTCAAAAAATGCACTTTAGCATATTACATAAACTTCAATACAATAGAGTAATGTGCAACAACCACACAAGCACTTTAGCACTTGCACTTTAATCCATGGAATTGGCCTGTCAATCATGTCCCTTTTTCTTCTGTGTCTATATTCGCTTCTGGTTTTGTTGATGTGTTTTATGATTTGTCTTGCATGATGTTTAATTTATGAAACAACTCTGCAACTATGCCAAATTTCCCCTAGGGGACAATAAAGTTATCCTTAACCTTAAATGTACTCGAATCAATGAAGAGCAATTATGAAGCTCCATTCTTACAGATCATAAACTAACAAAAGTTGTTTTAGTTTAGTTACCCTTTAAATGAAAAGTAGGCTACCCTACATATTGCACATTTTTTTTAAATTAATGTTTCAAATAAAATGTATATTTGCCATCAAATATACATAATTTGTGACTTTAAGTATGTGTAAAAAAAATAACATGAAGTGAATATTATCTCATAATAGCCTACTGTTAACTACATTGTTTAAAATGAATCGCAATAAATAATCAGATCATGTATTTTTAGTAATTAAGGTATTATTGAATATTACATGTATAAATCCTTTGAAATCCATGATAAATACATCAAATAGCCCGTATTATACATCAAACAAAAGAGTGAAAAAAAGAAAAAACAAAAAAAAAAAAAAAAACAGGTGGTGTGACTCTGTAAGACCCACTCTAAACCATTTATGGTTCGCCTTCACTTGCGGCCTAAAACGTGCGGTCTGGTGTGTGTGTCCTGAATCTTTTGGTCTGGATTGTGTGTCTTGAAACATGCCTGGTGTGTGTCCTGAAACGTGTTATTAATTAATGAACATCAACTTTACTAACACTAATAATCTGTAAGTCATGCCAATCTCTCGGTCTTCAGTAAAAAACTTTCATGATAAACCTGAATATAACCTAGTGACAGTGATTAAAGTACACTGTAAAAATGAATATGCTTGATCTAATCAATAAATTTGTGGCAACAGATTACAAGCAATATTATTTATTAAATTGAACAAATTAGAATTGAGTAATAGTTAATCAAATTAACATTCTATTTAATTCTAATTTGTACAATTTAATTAATAATATTGCTTGTAATATGTTGCCACAATTTTATTGATTAGATAAAGTATATTATTTTTTTCAGTGTAGACATCAAAGATAACACTGAAAAGTCACACTTTACTTGATTTTATAATAAACCACAACCTCCACAAAACACACACACACACACACACACACACACACAAACAAACACATCCCCCCTCTCACACACACACACACACACACACACACACACACACACACACACACACACACACACACAAGACGTGTGTTGCTGAATAATGTCATAAAGTGAATTTTTTTCAGTCCTCTTATATCAATATGTGGCTGAAGATAAGTGTTGAAATAGAGATATTAAATGATGATTAAACAGATGTGAATATGAAGACTCACCTGATACAGTCAGTGTAACTCCATCACTGGTCTGTGTGTGTGAGTGTGATCTCTCTCCTCTACAACTGTATTTACCCCTGCGAGACGCATCAGCTGTGAAACTGTAATCTGCTGTTGTTGTTATACATGCACAGACATCGTTTCCATCTTTAATCCATCTGTATGTCCAATGATTGTTTCCTCCTCCCTGTATGACACATGTGAGAGTGACTGTCTCTCCTATGAACACAGGCTGATCTGGCTTCACCGTCACTACAGGTTTCACTGAGAAACATAGAAGAAAATATTGCAGTATCAAGATCACTGTCATGAACTCAAATCTTACTCAGGAGAAAAACATTTAATTAAAAAGCTTGTAAATTGTAATGATTACATCAAAAATGCATGTTTTGGTAAATACTAAATGCAAGTGATACATGTATCCATATTTTATTAAGGGGGTAATCCAGAATCCGGAAGTTGAAGCCTCGCAGGAGCCGCCATTGTAGCAGAACTTCACCTGCTTTTAGCATCCCATTGACTCCCATTCATTTTGGCGTCACTTTGAACACCTTTATAGGCCTAGTTCATGAATGATCTATGACACTGTTTGGTCGTACATAAATATTAAGTGATAAACATGGCTATTTCATAAATTGGATAATGTTTTGATGAATTTACAAATCAAGTTAAATGACATCAAAAAAAGAAAGAACTCAATTCACAGTTTCAAAAGTCATATTGTAAAGCTTTAATATTGAGTAGTTTTAGGACTGGGCATTATCACGAAAAATGTTGCTGATATAAGTGATACACTGCTTGAGATTTAGCCAGTTGTGGAAAGACTGAAAAAATATACTCAACTAAATGTAGGCTACCATTACATTCCAAAACATTTAGTGAGTAAAGTAAAAAATAATTGAGTAAGAGCAAATAGTCTCTGGTAAGAGTTAAAAAACTTTACTGAGTACTGAGCTTCAGATGCTACTCCCTTATAATAAACACACTACAATTAAAAAAAGAAATAAATATTACATAGGCTACTGTAATTCACATTATCTTTTGTTGTTTGTCTAAAAGATTGAATAATATATCTATCATCTATCTTTTTAAAATGCATCAAAACCAAATGACTAGTTAAGAGATGAGAAGGTTAAAGAGTTATTCTCAGTACTCACCATTTAAAAAAAAAAAACTGAGCCACTGAGTATTTAGAAGTAAAAAGTAAAAATTTGCACACCATGAGATGTGTTACAATAGATAACAATAGATAGATAGATATATAGATACAATAGATAATTAAAACAAGCCAATTTTTCTCCAAAACGGTATCATTTTAGTGTTTTGATAAAGAAATGAGAATCACTAATATTATCAGTTTTGTCGAACCGAATGACTTGATGATGACTTTATAAGAATCGTAATTAAACTTTAATAAAAATTAATAATAATAATAAAAAAAAAAAATATTGCAACCTATAGCTAATATACAAAATGCAATCCTATCAGAGTCACGTGCATGACACGGTGCAAGCACAAAACAATACAGGAGTAGAGGAAAACCTATTGTTTGTTTGGATTTAAAAACTTCAAAATGTGACAATATTCATGAAAATAATTTTGGTGTATGCACAATTTGCAACACGGACATGATGGCCGCAACCTTGAACTTTACCAACATGTTAAACAGAATAGGCTAACTGTCATAGTGAAGAGGAAAAAACGATACAAGAAGTGCTCAAAATACAAAGTTCAGGCATCACTCAGAGAAGCATAAGCCAGACAAGGGAGGATTAAAGGAAAAGGAAAGTGTTTTTTTTTTTTTTTTTTTTTTTTTTTTTAATGTTAAGTGCTCAGGGAAGAGATCAGTTTTCAGCTGGTCTGTTTTATGAAACCGCAAAGGGTTTCCTGACACCAAAACTGTGTATAGGCCAAAGTATGTGGGAATGGGACACTTTAATTTCGGTATGCCAAATCCAGCCGGAAATGCCCAAAAACGGCTTAAGGAGTTTATGGCTTAGGAGCTTAACCATAGTATGCAAAGTCTGGAGTATTAACCGTTGGAATGCCAAAGCTGACTTAATTAAAAATAAATAAATACATAAATAAATATACGAAGAAATGTAAAAAAGTACAAATACATAAATAAATATACAAAGAAATGTAAAAAAAGTACAAATAAATGAGTATTTATACTTTTATTTCCTTATTTATGTATAATTGTATTTTTTCACACATTTAAACACACGTTTTAACTCAGACATCAGCAATCGAGCTCAGAGTGGCGGTGCTGAAGCTTTGAGGCCACAGTGTATGGGCTATGTGCACAAGCGTAGTTTCGAACTTCCGCTATTGTCAGAAGTCGGCATATCAGTTTCCGGTTTCCGACTGTTCATCCGCATCCGCTATAAACAAACAAGCTGTTGTACGAAAAAAAAAAAAAGAGTTGTTAAACACATCTACGTTTCTAAGAACTGTAGGTGGATCTATCATCTAATCCCCGTTTCACACATACCCCGTTTGCAGTGCAGGAACGGGTGCTATAGTGCTTTCACATATGATGCGTTTGCAGTGAATCTCTGATCGCGGCTGTATCACAAACACATACTTACTATTTTTATTATTTTTTTTGCGCATCGCCCAAAAATGTGTATTTAGTGCAGCCACTGCGCACGAAGGTTGGTGTTTTTCAGGAAGCAGTGGAAGCTCAAATGGCTGTTAGCGTCTTGAAGCAGCAAAGTGCCACAGCAGCCTCCTAAAGCACCATGTTAACAGGTTGCTTTCACTTTTCACACAGTTCCAGATGCGGCACATGTGCTATAAGATAAAAGCAGTGCAGCGATCATTACTGCACCGAATCTATTTCTGCTGTGCTGCATTAGTGACACCGCATGTTTTGTAGTCAAAATGCACAAAGATTGACCTGAAAATGTAGTAATTTCACCATAAATGCGTTTCATTAAATAAAATGTAGTAATCTCACCATAAATGCATTTAATATACCAGTACTACTATTTTTCACAGTCATCGGAAGACTGTGGAGACCGGGGTAAATCAAGAAAAACTACAATTAAGGTGACACAATGAACAACACTGGTATCATTCGTGGAGGTGGAAAAACAAGTTCTTTGTGACATGCAAGATCTATTGTAGGCTATTTAAATGCAAAAGAAAATGCACGCGAGTCGGCTGTTTTTGCCGATTTTAAGTTTTAATTTAAAATATTTGCCATTTTAATATTCAGCAAATTAATAGAAGCATGGAATAATAGCCTTAACTAACGTTGTTTAAACGTGCATACGTCCATTAAAGAGTGTGTACAAAGAGAATCGCAATGCTGACAACTTTTTTTGAAATTTTAAATAAAAATAGTAAGTATGTGTTTGTGATACAGCCGCGGATCAGAGATTCACTGCAAACGCATCATATGTGAAAGCACTATAGCACCCGTTCCTGCACTGCAAACAGGGTATGTGTGAAACGGGCGTTAGATGATAGCAGTTTTAGATGTGTTCAAGAACTCTTTTTTTTCGTACAACAGCATCACTCATCTGGTTTGTTTATTAGCGGATGTGGATGAACAATCGTAAACCGGAAACTGATATGCCAACTCCTGACATTAGCGGAAGTTCGAAACTACACTTGTGCACATAGCCTATTAATATCAGTGTGTTAATTTACGCTCACATTCTCTGATCGGAACAAACCCGAACACTGTCTGCTGAACTTGCGCAGAAACATCAAAATAGACATGACCAGCTTTTTAAAATTGTTTTTAAAACTAAACTTTAAGACTATTTTAGCACAAATTATGAGCTTATTGGTGATTTTTTTTTATAATTCTTGACAAATTTTTTTGAAAGAGTTTGAAGAAAAGTTTTGGGTGGGCCTGTTAAAAAAGTGGGTGCCGTGCCTGCTTGAAAGGTCTTGAAAGATTCAAAGTATATTACCCTTTTTTGTAGAATGCAGCCAACAAGGTATTTTGTTTTATTTGTCTGTATTTTGTGTGAAATGTCATTACATCTGTTACACGCTTTTGCTGTGTGTCGAGCTGATGTGATTTCTGTATTGTGTTGTTTGTTTTAGTTTTCATGGTGGATTTGGAGAAGTCTTCAGATAAACCAGTAGCAAGAGAAACACTTGTGTCTGCGTATGCTTACAGTCGACTGAACTATTGTACAATGCAAGACTGTTTGATTGATTGAATAAATAGCAGATTTCTGTAATGTTTTGCAGCATAAGAAACTATAGCCAGATGATTCTGTGAAATATATGCAAACATAAAACATCAGCAAAGAGACAACTGTGGGATCCTGATGTATACATGCAAATAAATACTACAACAGAATTCACATTAGTTAAAACATAATTATAATTCACTGCAGTACCTGTAACACATTGACTGAGTCCGGAGTGAACGAGGGACATCAGCACTAAAAGCAGAAGAAACACAGATGAAGCTTTTCCATTCATTCAACACAATGTAAATCACTGAAACATGTCTAGAGTTTATTCTACATGAACTGAAAGTGTTTTTCTGTTCTGATGCTCATAAAGGTGAGAACTGATGGATTATTCTCCAGCATTAACATCACACACAATGACGTCACATGACTCGTGAACTGATACGAGAGTCGATTCACTGATAGATTCACTGATGTGATCAAATAAAATCCATGCGTTAACACGCTCCACAGCGCCACCCAGTGCATTTAATTATAACTGTAACTTAAAAAATGATCATGGATTCACTGCTGGCCGTAAATACATTATTTTATTTTTCGAATAATAATAAAAAAAGGTTTTGAATATTAATGCACAGTGCACACCCTTATTGTGACTTTATAGTAAAATAATGTGGACATATACACTGAAAAAAACTACTTGTAAGATTTACTTAATAAAATCCTCGTAACAATTTGCACAAGTAAATTTTAAGTAAATTTTACTGCTATAATATTAAGTACAACTCGCGTGCCATTATCAAGTAAAATCTACTTAGTATTGAACAAAACTCTCATGAAGAAATTAAGTAAAAAATACCCATTTACATTTCATTTAGAAGCTATATCTATTTAAAGTAATTAAGTAAAGTTTATTTATTGTTTTTAAATTAGGAAGCTTGCTTTTATGACATTTTTAAGTAAATCTTACCATTTAATTAAGTAAAATAAGTAGATATTATTTAAGTTTTTTTGTTGAGATTTTCATTTACTACATATTTAAACATTTAAACATTGATAATTTCTTTTTTTATAAATAATCATGAACATAAATAAATAATC